CCCAGGCTTCCTTTCATTTGTCTCCCACTTCTTTTCAACTGTCTCCCACTTCTTTTCATTGTCTCCCAGGCTGAGTGCTTCTGGTCGGGTTCGCGCCCTTTTCCGCTGGCCATCTGGTGTCCGCCCTTTTCCGCTGATGTCCGCCCTTTTCCGCTGGCCATGTAGCATTTCTATTCGTTTGTCTCCCAGGTCTCTCACTGCTGGTGTTCGCCCTTTTCCGCTGGCCATGTAGCATTTCTATTCATTTGTCTGGTGGTGTCCGCCCTTTTCCGTCGGCCATGCAGCATTTCTATTCATTAGTCTCCCAGGTCTGTCACTGTTGGTGTCCGCCGTTTTCCGCTGGCGATGCAACATTTCTATTCATTTGTTTTTCAGGTTTGTCACTGCTGGTGTCCGCCCTTTTCCGCTGGCCATGCAGCATTTCTATTCATGTGTTTCGCGGATCTGTCACTGCTGGTGTCCGCCCTTTTCTGCTGGCCATGTAGCATTTTTATTCATTTGTCTACCACATCTCTTTTGGCCATGTAGCATTTCTATTCATTTGTCTCCCATGTGATTTCTTTCTTTTTGTCTTTCAGGTTTGGTGCCTGCACTGGTGTTTTCTGCCCTGTCCGCTGGAACAGGTTCACCTGTGAAAGGTTCTTGCTCCTTTGAAATGGGTGCGTGACTGTCTCCGGGGTTGCATTCCTGCCGCAGTGTGTAACTCTCTCAGCTTTGTTTTCCTTTTCGGGCAAGCGTTGGATGAATGACCGGATTGGATTTCGGCGGCGTGGCAGCGATCTCTCTGTTCAGTTGGGACGGAGGGCATACGTCAGGCACCAAAAATCAATTTCATGTCACATCCTTCGCTCCTCATGCTTTTGTTTCTTGTCCTCACGTGGTCAGCTCCCCGCTGATTGAGCAGCATGACCAGCATCATGTTCGCACTTGAAGAATAATTCCCCAAAAGGTTTAGGGCTTCTCAATTCTTTTCTTAAGATATGTCCGCCTGCTCTGTACGGCTGTGTCCGTCTCTGCCTTGCAACCCTTTACATTTGTCTCCCAGCTCTGGGCTGCTGTGGCCGCCTCTGCCTTGCGCAATCCCTTGTCCAAGCTCTAGTTTCGATGTTGAAAAACACAAACTGTTTGGGGTCTACGGTGGTGTAATTTCAAGGTTGTTTGACCATGAAATGGAACAAGACCATGAAATGGAACAAATCCGAATCAGAGGTTGTCTATTCTGATCCAGCGATCCGAACCGGCATGTCTCAGTCGAATCACCTAAGAGGAACCAAGTGAAACCAACACAAGCAATGCGAACCAAGACTATCCACAAAACATGACCTTGAAAACGACTCTTCTTCCAAACTACTTGGCCGTGTGCATGTTTTCCTTTTCAGATCTTTTTTTCGACCAGCTCGAGGGATTGCGACACGCACCAGATATTCTTTTTCACACACAGAAGGCTTCAAAGCGACCGAAGAATTTCTAGATCTGGCATGATTTGTCGTTTTTTTCTCCAAACCGTTTGAAATGAAAGACCCAGAATGACATCGAACAACAATACCCTGCTCAATCAGACTTGTGGGTGCATTGGAGTTGCACATTTTGCTGGGAGAGTTTGTTGCTGTGGATTTCAAGCGAAGTCGTTTTACAATGAAATGGAACGAATCCGAACCAGAGGTTGTCTATTCTGATCCAGCGATCGACATGTCTCAGTCCAATGGTTGTCTATTCTAATCCAGCGACCTACTACCTACTACCTACTACGCACCACCTACTACCTACTACCTACTACCTACGACCTACGACCTACGACCTACTACCTACTACCTACGACCTACGACCTACGACCTATGACCTACGACCTACTACCTACTACCTACTACCTACTACGTACCACCTACCACCTACTACCTACTACCTACGACCTACGGCCTACGACCTACTACCTACTACCTACTACCTACGACCTACGACCTACGACCTACGACCTACGACCTATGACCTACGACCTACTACCTACTACCTACTACCTACTACGTACCACCTACTACCTACTACCTACTACCTACAACCTACCACCTACCACCTACTACCTACTACCTACTACCTACTACCTACTACCTACTACTGCTGCTACTACTACTACCACCACCACTACCGGGGAGGGAGGGGGGGGGGGGCGTCAGACTGTCGAAAATCTCGCGCGGAGAGACAATAAGCAATACTAACCAATACAAGCAATACTAACCAAAACAATCCACAAAACACGCCGGCAGGCCGGCGGATTAGAGACATATAAACAACATAAAGCATATCAGGACTATACCACCGCCTATATTTTCGATTGCCATCAAACACCAAAAAAGCATCACAAGCCAATAGAAGCCAAGACAATGCAACACATTTCAATACAAATCAGTTCGAAAAGATCAGAAACTATCCAGAAAACGGCATCCTGAAGACCCTAAAGAATCAGACTTAGCTCCAAAGGAAAGGTAGCTATAGTGGCTCCCTGGAAAACCCTGGAGCTGAAAGATTTTCCTGCAGATGTTGGGACATTGGGGGGTAGGTTTTGATTTTTTAGTGGAGATTAAAGGAGTGGACTTGGCAAGTGTTTGATTTTTTAGATGGGGGCCGGCACGGTGTTATTTTCCTGACCTGCTGGATATCCAAACCAAATCCTAAGCATCTCAAAACAGTAACACTCAAAAAACGTAAATAGCCCGTACAGTTGGCTAGGGGTGTGTTCGCCAAAAAACAACAGCAAGATACAATAAGTAACAATAACGTTCTTTGGAAAGAAACAAGGAGCGACAGTTCGACTCGAACCCGGACGGTCAGATTCTTTAGGTTCATGATGTGGTGTTATTTTTTGAGGTGGACAGGTCTGATTCTTTAGTGTTAATATGTTTCAGTTAATTTTTTAGAGGTTTGTCTCTCTCATTGATGGTGATTCTTTAGAGAGCAGCAGGTTGGCACAGGGTGGGATCTCCAAAAAATGAGGTCCATGTGCGAGGTCGAATTCGCACAGGGATGTCGTGTCAGAATATTCCGTGCTTTTCTCAGGCTGCTTCATGTCGGACTCAGATGAGTTCGAGTATGAGTCGGATGATGACCCATATGGCGGGGCTGAGGAGGAGGCTTGAAACATTCGCTCTGCTTCCTTGAACTTTCTTGCCTTCTCGGTTTCCTGAAGTGGGCTGAATTTCCAGGATGGGGATGAGGAGGCGATCCAAATTGAAAACACTTTCTATGAGGCAGAGGGCGTTCCTTCTCCAATCCAGTGAACATGTTTTTTTTTTGCCAATTTTGATTTGCTCTTGGAGGCCGATGACAACAAGCAGAACTTTCCGGAGCAGGCACTTGATCTGCCATGCTGTTAAGAGGCTTCAACTTGATTTGAGTGAGCTCGGAGGCACTTGAACAATTCCAGAGAGTTGTCACTCTCGAAGCGACACGTGGAAGTGAGGTGACTTGGAGCAAAAGATTGGCTGGTGTAGAGTATACGATTCACGAGGGTTGATGAGCAATCTCTTGTTTTTGAACTATATGTCAAGCTGAAGTAACTCGCCGAACTAGCTAGCCAATGATTGACACCGAAAGCCAGCCGATAGCCTGGCCTGAAGTTAGTTTCTGCGGACGAAGTTAATACTTGAGGATTGGACAAAATCTGTGGTTTGGGTCGGCCCCGCCTGGTTGGTTCAGAATGCAAAGATGAACGGACCAACCCTGACCATCAGATTTTGCATGTGACTGATTTAGGGGGTGCAGGGGGACAGACACGGCCCAGAGGATCCAAACCTTGCAAACTTAGTGATGTTTGTAATTTCTGGTCGAGACCATTTTGTTGAGTTGGTTGTGCAGAAGATCTAAGGATGCTTGTTGTAGCATCACTTGCATCAACAAGATGTTTTTGAAGATTGCTGTTGCTGGTGTTGCTGATCTTCTGCTCCTGGTTTGCTGGTTTGGCTGCTGTTGGTGGTGCTGGGCTGCTGCTGGGTTGTTGCTGGTCTGCTTTGCTCTGGGGCGCTGTTTCTGCTGGCGGTCTGCTGCTGCTGGTGTGCTGGTTTATAGTGCTGCTTGTCACAAGCATGCTCACGGGTCGCTTCGGGCAATACCTTGTAGAATTTGGAGGCAGTGTGTGCGCATACACAGCCTCTCGGTATTTGCATCTTGTCAACTGCCGATTGCCTCTTACCTTATATATATTTATATACTGTAACTAGCACCTGCATAGTGGTTTCTGCTGGCTTTGGTTCTTCGTTTCTCCGGCCAATTCACCAAAGATATTTAGAGTAGAGGATCACAGAAAGACAGACAATTGCTCGTTGGACATGGCAACCAAACTGGGAATTGCGAATCATTTTCCATAGAGACCAGACCTCATGTATATATATAGCATTGCAAGCATCATGAAGAATGCGTGACAATACTTCGCAGCCCTTTTGAGTGTCAAGAAAAAGTGCGTATGGTAGCGGAGCAGGGACAACGGCAACCCCCTTTGAGCTCCAGAGAAAAGCCGCTAGGTCACTGGGATCCCGGGTGCGATTTCGAGCCATAGATTTGAGGCCTTTGGAACCCAAACAGCTGGACTGGTGAAAAATAGTTGTTAGCAACACTCTGTACCCAGTACATTGTGTCAAAGAGACATTAGTACAAAGAGAAGATGGAGGAGGTCAGAGAACGCCTTCAAACTATAGCACAGAGTACGCTGGCAACAGCATCAGCAGGTGAGGCAGTGAAGAAAGCAGTTGAAGACAAGAAGTCATCAACAACAGGTTTGTCAAAATTGATAACAAAGCCCAATATCTTTGACCATAAGTTTCCAGAAGAAGAGATCAAGGCACTCAGAGAGTTGTCATGGGTCTTTGAGAAGTATTTGAGCACAATTGATGAGGGCTACATGAAGGACTTGAAAGAAATTTATGAGAAGCCAATGACAAGTTTGATGTGGACTGGAAGCAGAGAAGACCAGGTGCATCAAGCTTTGTGGATTGTTAGCTTCATCGATGAGAGGAAGAGCACTGCAATTGGTGAAAGCTGTGGAAGACTCCAATGGACTTGATGCCTGGAGGAGTTTGAGTAAAGCTTTGAAGCCAACTTCGAAGGCGAGAGGCTTAGAAGTGGAAGCATCACCAGAGCTTATGAGAACCACTTTGGTGAAAAGAGGAGGTAGATGGCTAATGCCTGAATATTTTGAAAGCATGATGAAAAAGGAGCAACTTGATGAGCAATTCTTTGATGATGATGCAGTCATTCCTTCAATCACAGTCTTCAGCTACGAGGCAGCACCACCAGAGGATAGGGGATTCTTTGCACAAGGATACAAGGAGCTTGAGAATAGAGAACAGAGAAAGACAGACGCGCAGAAGACCATCGTAGAGATTGCCCCTATAGTCCCCAGGAGAAGGAGGTAGAAGGCCAGGGAGAAGAAGAACAGATGATGACCTTGAATGTGACCTACAATTGAGCCCAATGGATGTAAACAAAGTCTTTGTGAATGGAGTGGAGTTGACTGAGGATTCACCTTTGGCAACTCTGAGGGCATGTTCATTTGTCTGCATTTCAGGCAGTGGCTCTAAGCTAAAGGTCTACACCAAGTTCCTCAATCACAACAAGAAGATGGAGTTGTTGAATGCCAAAAGCTTGGTGAGTGAAGCAAAAGCTCAGGAGACAAGAGAGGCATTAGGGCAAAGTGTTGCAAAGATGCCGGGTGAAGCAACTCAATCAAGGCGCAGCTTGACACACATGCCATGTGCCAATTGGTGTAAGGAGTGCATTGTCGCCATGAGAGAACAGATGGTGTAAAGAGAGGAAATGTTCTTGAAGTAAGCTTTGACTTTTGCTACACAAGAGCAAGGGGCTCAGAAACAAAGTCAGCAAGAGCAGTATGTTGGTTAGTTGGAATTGACAGCCAGACTGGACTCATTCGATTCACGTTGTGCGGAAGCAAAAGCCAATTTCGCCTGATTGTGCAAGAGTTGATGAATTTCAGTCAATTGTTGGGGTATTCAGTGTTCAGCACTCGCCTACAGGATTGACAATGAACCCACAGCAAGGCAAATAGATGCTGATCAATGCCCGCCATAGTCTAGGACTCGCCGCTAGATTAGTTAACTCAATTCCTGGAGATCAATTCATTTCTGTCAGAGAACACAGTCGACAGGGTGAGAAAGCTCGCAGGAACTTTGATTGAAGATGTGCAGTCAAGACTTGGTATCAATATTGGATCAGACCATGCAGTTTGGACTTGGGCAGCAAGACATGCCAGTTGGGTGCTATAACAGATTTCAGCCAGTCAAAGGTGCAACTACAACTACCAGAATATGGTGGACCAGTTCATGGTTACATCAAGAGCCTCAACGAAGGAGAAGCAAGGTGACGTTTATGCTTGTTCTTGGGAAAGGTTGAAGGGCAAAACACTTATGCGCTTACAGATGGAGCGCAAGTGCATCAGAAGAACAGATACAAAAGCTTCAATGCATTTTCACGGGAGTATCAAACCAACTTTGGAGGCAGGATCATTGCCGGCAAGAGAAGGGCAGAAGCGTTACCAGCGGGGCAGACAGACATTCCTCGAGAACATGTAATGGTGAAATTCAGAGATGAAGACGCAGAAGCATTCATTGCTAAGGCACTGGAAGGAGGAAGTGATTCAGTGAAAGAGGAGCCACGATTCCCACTGCCAATGAAGATTCCAGCCCCGCTGGAAATCCCGGTTGAAGCAATGAAAAGAGATGGAGGCGAAAAGAAACCAAGTGGAGAAGAGACGCCAAGTAAGAAGCAGAAAGTTCTCTTTACAGATGAGAAAACACTTGAGAAGGTGGAGGCATTTCCCTCTACATCATTGCCTAATCCAATTACTCCTATACTATCTTCATTGAGATCACCATCAGCGCCATCAAGACCAAGAGAAGCAGTTGAACTGCTTGAAGTGGAAAGTCCAATGAAGAAACTTAGACCGGCGGCCGTCAGATGATTCAAGCAAGATGGCCAAGATCAGCATGGTGAAAGTTGGGGGTGAAGATCTTTACCATGTAGATGAAGAGTTATCCCCAGTCGCAGAAGAAGTTGATGAGGAAGAGTGGAATGATGAAGAAGATGAATCAGATTTGGAAGAAGTCAATGGACCTGAATGCTAAAAGTGTGATGGAGAACATGGGGGTCCAGAAGAATGGGTAGACAGAGTAGCTGATGAGGTGGAAGAGAAAAGGCCCCAAAAGATGCAAGTGCTAGAGAAACCAGAAGGCAGCGCAAAAGGAATCAGTTACTTGGCAACGCGCAATGTGTATGACAGGAGGAAACCCTACTAACTTGGAGATTGCGTTTCAGTCAAGAGGTGGAAGGGAAGGTCAAGACTATATAGTTGCTAGAGAATTTGCTTTCGCTGAAGGAAAGAGCCCATCATTCTTGCAGAGAATCAGTGAAGAGGAAGAAGCAAGAGAGGGAGAAGGAGCATTTTCACAGGTACTAGGATGTTTTGATGTGAAAGATGCATTTCGACAAGTTCCACAAGAGAAGCCGTTGAAAGTTACCTTGAGAGGAGAAGAATTATGGGTGAACAGAATTTCACCTGGACAAGGAGTTGGAGCAACTGCGTGGTTTGTTTGATCCATGTGGGTGACTTGATTTCACAGGAGACCCTTCAAAGTACATCAATGAAATCTTTCTTCTAAAGATCCAAGGAAATTGCGCTACCCGTGTGAGCGATTCAGAGGATTGGCGATGCGCTGATTTTCTGACAAGAAAGTACAAACTCGAAGTTGATGGACTATGGCTATGGATCCAGCCAGGTATCTTTGTCCAGCAGACGCTGACAGCCTATGAAGAGCAGATTGGATTGGTCAAGCTTCAACAGCTACCAGAAAACAGTTCAATCCAGATGGAAGACCAATCAGAAGCCTTGCATGAGCAAGAGGAGATCAGCCTTTTCAGAAGCATTGTTGGATCAGGTCTTTATCTATGTCAAGAGAGGTATGATGTAGCATTTACAGTGAAGGAATTGGCCTCAAGAATTTCAATTCCTACAGCTATGTCATTTCATCGCGTGAAGAAATTCTTAAGATACTTGAAGAAGAGTATGGACTATTGTCTAGTACTTGAGTTGCCGCAAGCAGGAGAAGGTTATGTCAAGAAAGGAGAAAGCTACTGGTGCTGGAGACATTCTCAGATTCAGATTGGAGTGGTAACAAAAGCGTCAGGAGGATTCCATGCGTTGAATCGTTGCCCATTGTTCAACAGCAGCAGGACACAGAAGATCATTAGCCTATGTTCACGCAGCGTGTTTATGCAAAGCTCAGCAGTCAAAAGTCTTCCAACGCGCACAGTTTGAGGGAAGGTCTTCAACCTGCATCATCTGCCAGGTGGTAAGCCTCTGCTGCCTGCCCTTACGCCACACCCTGTAGAGACAAGAGGTGAGTGCTATCGTTAGGCTGATCCCAATTTGTAATGGGTGTTGGACCCTTGCAGGGCTTCCAAAGCGAGGCCCATTGCTGATCCCGGTTCTTGTTGCTGAGGCTGAAACAAGTGTGGAAGCTTCCAAAAAGCATGACGCTTCACACCCGCAGCATCTTCTTGAGATCCTTCTTAAGAGTTGGGTGTAGGCCCTGCTGTGAAGCAGAACTACATGCATGAGTTTCCTCAGCATCAGATGGAATCTTTATATTCGCGCAGTTCTTGAAGGTGGACCATTCCATCTTCACAGATTCATCGAGTGCGCGCCAACTTGTGATGAAAAGAGGAGTTGGAAAAGTGAGACATTTGGATGGAAAGTTGCTGTGGGTTCAGAACAGGAAAGGCTTCAAGATGGTACAAGTACCAACAGATAGCAACATGGCAGACCTCAACACAAAGCCACTTGGAGGACAAAGAATCAGGTACTTGATGAGCCTCACTGGTTACTGGCACAGTGAAGATCAAACAAGAGCAGGAGAGTATGAGAGCTTTGAAGAGAAGAAGAATTTTGCAGGAAAGTTGAACAAGATTGCAAAGATGCTTGTGAGAATGGTAATGTTGGAGGGCTTGCAGCCAATGGTTACAGGAGCGTTCCTGAAAGGAGACGCGTCCAGTGTGGATTGGGCGTAGTGAAGAATTCCAATGAAGAATGGAAATTCTGGATTGTCACGATCGCTGTGTTCAACATTATTGGTTTGCAGCAGTGATCTTGGTAATCTTCAGGATCTACAAGCACTTTGAGACCCTACGTGCAGATTTTGCTCATACCAATCGCGAGTTCTATGAGACGATAGACAAGAGAATTGATAAGCGAATTGATGATGTTGAAGTGAGAGTTGCAATTTGGAGAGAAGAAGAACTTGAAGACAAGTTAGACACACTTCAAAACCATGACAGGAGAATTCACAGTGGATTGACCCTGAATGGAGGCTTTGTAGAAAGAGAATCACCAACTACACAAGCTGTTCTCAGCTATAACATCATGAGTGAGATCAACGCAGGAAATTACTTAGCCAGAAAAAGCCTGGAAGCTGTGCAAGATACAGAAGGATGGTATGAAGGGCGCAGAGTCATGGTAGAGGCGCCATTGAACAGAACATTCAGAAGAGGAAGCAGAGAAGTAGCAATCAGATCAGAGTATAAGGATGCAGGATGCAGGCAGTACAGATGTGTGGTAGACTCAATGTCAAAATTGAGGACATGAAAGTACAGGAATGGAACCTACTAGGGATAGGAGGTCAAGATTCTGCAGCTAGATGTGAGCGAGAACAAGAGAAGTATGAACAGTTGCTTGAAATAGCAGAATATAGCAGGGACGACCCAACAGAAGGACACTTCAGGAACCCAGTTCCTGAAAGGAAGGAATAAGCCTGCAGAAAGAGAAAGAGAGAGAGAGAGAGAGACAAGAATTGAATGAAAGAACATCGATTATGGTGGCAATTGAGCTCAAAGAAGCGTCTTAGAGTCTCACATTGCCAAGAAGGAGCGCGAACCATTTTCCATAGAGATCAGACCTCATGTATATAGCGCTACAAGCATCATGAAAAATGCGTGACAGGACTGCGGAGTCCTTTTGAATGTTTGTCAAAAACCCAGAAACAAAATAGCTAGTGGCGAGAGGCGAAAACCAATGACGGGCTGCATTTGGCTGTCTGGGGGTGTTGGCAGCCGCGGACGGACAAACAGCAGTTGTTATGCTCTGCGTTTCAGCAGGAGAAGGTTGTGTCAAGAAAGGGGAAAGCGATTGGCGCTTGGATACATTCTCAGATTCAGACTGGAGTGGAAACAAAAGCCGCGGAAAGTCAACGTCAGGAGGATTCCATACGTTGAATCGTTGCCCATGATTCAACAGCAGCAGGACACAGATGTGAAGCAGAACTACACGCAGTAGTTTCCTCAGCATCGGATGGAATCTATATTCGCGGAGTTCTTGAATTTGCTCTTGGGACAAGGTGGACCATTACACCTTCACAGATTCACCAAGTGCACGCCAACTTGTGATGAAAAGAGGAGTTGGAAAAGTGACATTTGGATGCAAAGGTGCTGTGGGTAGAACTGGAAAGACTTCAAGATGGTACAAGTACCAACGGATAGCAACATGGCAGACCTCAACACAAAGCCACTTGGAGGACAAAGAATCAGATACTTGGTGAACCTCATTGGTTACTGGCACAGTGAAGATCAAACAAGAGCAGGAGAGTATGAGAGAAGGGCCTTTGAAGAGAAGAAGAGTTTTGCCAAAGATGCTTGTGAGAATGGTAGCGTTGGAGGGCTTGCAGCCAATGGTTACAGGAGCGTTGAAAGGAGACAACACCCAGTGTGGATTGGGCACAGTGAAGAAATCCAATGAAGAATGGAAATTCTGGATTGTTATGATCATTGTGTTCAACATTATTGTTTTGCAGCAGTGGCCTTGGTAATCTTCAGGATCTACAAGCACTTTGAGACCCTACACGCAGATTTTGCTCATACAAGTCGCTTTATGGCAGAGTTCTATGAGACGATAGCCAAGAGAATTGATAAGCGAATTGATGATGTTGAAGTGAGAGTTGCGATTTGGAGAGAAGAAGAACTTGAAGACAAGTTAGACGCACGTCAGGACTATGCCAGGAGAATTCGCAGTGGATTGAGCCTGATTGGATACTTTGTTGAGAGAGAATCATCAACTACACAAGCTGTTCCCAGCTATAACATCATGAGTGAGATCAACGCAGGAAATTACTTGGCCAGAAGGAGTTTGGAAGCTATGCAAGATACAGAGGGATGGTATGAAGGACGCAGAGTAAAGGTAGAGGCAGCCAATGAAGGAGCAAATCCATCAGGGGACCAGATGTGTGGTAGGCGCAATGTCAAAACATGAAAGTACAGGAATGGAACCTGCTAGGGATAGGAGATCAGGGTCCTGCAGATAGATGTGAGCGAGAACAAGAAAAGTATGAGCAGTTACTTGAGAGCAGTTGGCCAAGGTGTCGGTCAAGATGGCGCAGTTGGGGAACACCACCTGCTACGCCTAGGCTATGGTGGGGGACGAGGGCAGCAATGCGATAGGGAGCAAAGCATGCAATGGCATGGCTTTGTAAATAACAGCTTTGAGTGCACAACGCCGCTGTGAAGAAACAGTGCATAGCGCAGATAATGCACTTAAGTTGGAAGTTAGGCATAACTGAAACTTTTGTGCGGTTATGCGCTAGCCCCTTTTTGTGGCGCAAGCTTGCGTGGCCCACCCTGGCAACCACCCGGGGACGAGGGCAGCAATGCCATAGGGAGCAAAGCACGCAATGGCATGGCTTTGTGAAAACCAGCTTTGAGTGCACAACGCCGCTGAGAAGAAACAGTGCGTAGCGCAGCGAATGCACATAAGTGTGTAAGTAAGGCGGTTCCATCACACCCAGCCAGAAGACCACTGAACAATCCCAGCCAAGAAAACACCAAACCCAGGCTCAGAAAGAAGAACAGGCTTGCTGATTGCTGAAGTGGGAACAATTCTGACTGGGTTGAGCCCAAGCTGGCCTGTTCGTAAGGGCCCTGGTGGCCAGGTTTGTTGCCAGTGGCTGACTCCAAGTCGCCAGTGGCCGGTGAACAGTGCCAGTGAACAGTCTTTCAAATTTAGGCATTGAATCCGCACGGTCGACGTCTGGGAACCCTTGGTTGCACACATGCGCGTTCACCAAGGCCTCTTTACTGAGGTGAAATTTGGAAGTGTCGGCCATGTGCCAACCTAACCTCAGCCAGGAAACAAGCACCAACGTTACCAGTATTGCCGTCTATCCGGATTTAGGGGTAGCTCAAAACAGCGCCCAGCAGGGCCATCCGCGGCCCCCTGCCAACATCCCCAGACAACCAAATGCATAAAACCCATCATTGGTTTTCGCCTCTCGCCACTGGCTATTTGGTTTCTGGATGGTTTGACAAGTGCAAGGGGCACGAAAGCTCGTGTTTTCACCGGGGCCGTGTCGGCAACATAGTGTAAGTAAGGCGGTTCCATCACATCCGGCCAGAAGACCACTACACAACCCTGGCAAAAAACACCAAACCCAGGTTCAGAAAGAAGAAAACACTTGCTGACACAGGAACAATTCTGACTGGGTTGAACCCAGACTGGCCTGTTCGTAAGGGCCCTGGTGGCCAGGTTTGTTGCCAGTGGCTGACTCCAAATTGCCAGTGGCTTCGACAAAGACCGTGTGTTAGACAGGTGAAGGGCAGTTTCGGTGCTAAAGTGTTGCAAATACCGAATACCTGTTGCACTCAGGTTGTTTGGAGGTTCAAGGCGTTGCAGAACATTGTGATTCTTTGTCACGGTCTCAGACAGGCAACAGCACGGGTGTTTGAGCTACAGGTTCCAACTAAAGGCAAAACTGCAGTGCATCTTGTCAAGATTGACACATGGATACAAGCTCCAAACCAAAATTGTTTCCGTAGTATTGGGATAGTGAGAGCTCATGTGCACAGAGCCACGAGAATGCATTTTTGCAAATCTGCTGGAATTTCATGTGTATAGACTGTAAACAGTGTGAATTGTTGGGTTTGCAACATGTATTCTTTTTGTGTTCTTGTCTCGTTCACGTATTTGCAATACTTTTGTTAGCGCGTATATTGCGCATATTAAATTGTCACTTTTTCGGGGTTTCGCTGCTTGTAGTCTTTGGCAGCTCTCCTCAACGCCTGAACTTTGGTCCAATTGCTTTTTTGCTCTTTGGGAATCTCAAAGTGCTCTATTTATATAGTTACTGTAGTCTCTTTTTGCTTGCTCAAACTCAACAGGCCGACCAAGCAATATGTTTCGAGTTTTGATTGACGTTTGAGCTTTGCGTGTGTTTGCCAACTTCCTCTCAATAGACATAACCGCTGCTGTACTGTACCCGGGTGCGAATGCCAGATTATTTTTCAACCACAACGCAGTTTTTTCAAGTGGAAAATCCCAAAGCCCCTAGTCTGCCTGACTATCAGAGCTCTTCACCCTAATGGAATTCTTCAGAGTAGTCTCCTCGTAAAGTCTTGGCCGAAAGCATTTATACAGAGGTATGAAAACAAAATGAGACAATCCTGCACTGCACATTCTTTCGGTACTGAGTCTCAGACGTTTGTCGCTACTTGTATCTTGATTCAGGCCAAGGGCAACTGTGTTCTTCGTGCATTTCCATCGCTTCGTAGAAACAAAACAAACTCCCTGTCTCATGTTGTTTGGTTCCCGTCCCGCATGTTATGTTGGACGGATTTTTTTACAGACACCATGTCCACAGTTCTATCCTACATTCCAGGATTGCATCATCAACATCACACAGGGCTTTGACACAAGACACACTCGCCACATATTGGAGTTGCAAAACTTCTGACGGCCCTTGTTGGGTTTTCATTCCTATTTTAGTGATACACATATTTTTGTCACATGCCTCTTTTTTCGCTTTGCTTCTTAAATTTAAAACACGATATCTCCTCCAAATCACTAGGCTAGATGGGCTAGATGGTGTTGATTTGGCCTGGATCCGCAGAACCTGAGCTTTCCTGACAGAAGAGGCTTGATAAGCTTCCATAGTGGACTCCTTTGGGTCTTGGCTGTCTTGTTTGTGCTTTTCTTCCGTTTATTGCTCAGGCTCCTTTTCTTGGGCATGTGGGGCGGAATGTGAGGGTGGCCTGTCCAAAGCTCCCGTTTCACGTGTAGTAAAACTCATGACCTTTCCCCCTTCCTGCTCACAAACCAAAAGATTTGGCGCATGCTCCCACATGAACCTGGTGAATCCTACAGCTGGCGTGCGTTAGTTTTCTATTTTTGTGCTCGGGGTTGAGAAACTGATTGAAGTTAAGCGCTGGCTCTACACAAATGAGTTGTTTGCACCTTTGCTGTTGCCATGGACAGAAAAGGGTATGCTCAGTACCTGGTAGAATGTCTTTGCATCATCTCTTGATGCTGGGATAGAATCCTTTCCATACTGCCATTGCTTTGACAGGCTTGGTTCACCATATTTTCCCAATTCTTATTCTACGGCCCAAGTTGCCTGCAAATCGGTGGAACAAGTATTCTTTATTCCCCAAACAGTTTACTGTTAGGGGTTCTCAATTCTTTCTTAAGATGTGTCCGCCCTTTGTGTCACCTTTCTGTCGCTGCTGGTGTCCGCCCTTTTCCGCTGGCCATGTAGCATTTCTATTCATTTGTCTCCCAGGTCTGTCACTGCTGGTGT